CGTAATGTCGTCCACACCATCGACGGTAAAAACTGTCAATGCGGCATATCTAATTCGACGAATAGAGAACCGTGTCGGAATTGCATATACTCTTAATCCTTACAGGAGATTACAAGAAGAGGGCCTCATATAATAAAGATGAACACTTGCAGCGCATATCGCGGTAAGATTCGTGTCTATCCAACCCCTTCCCTTTTACGCCCTCACCCTGTTCTATGTAACCTCTGTCCCCTAACCCTCTAATGCGACAATCGCAGGCCTCACTTTCATTTAGTCTGACGATGGCCAAGTAATACCTGCTAAGAGATTCACGAGTAAAACTCAATTTTCCGATGAGCCTTCCTTCTTCATAGACGATCGTTTCCAGGAGCGCAAGAAAGGTACAGATTCCTTCGTCAAAACCCTATCTCAATTTCCGATGATGCGTTAAAGAATCGATCTTTTAACTTCTTCTTTCACCGATCGCATGTTCTTCTTATGAACTAACCTCTACCCGTAACCATAATTTTGAACATAATTCTAATTTTATGTTATATTAATAGTATTCCATCCAGGCAGAAGGCAATCCTAGAATACGTATTTCTGGCTATTGGCCGACATCAGCTAGGAGTAGCCCAACTCTAATGTAGCCGCTGAAATTGCTGCCACACTCGAGTTTCGAACTCGCGTCTCGCCAGTCAGAGGCAGACGTCCTAACCATTGAGCCATCGAGTTCACTGTCTTCCCAACTTTCCCGTAAACTAACACAAAGCCAACTGTACTATGGATGAGGTCTGTTCCTATGTCAGTAATAGTACCAGAATTAGTGAAATTTAGCTAGATTGCTAGTTAGGATAAGTAGAACTAGTAGTGGTAGCAGTATCAGTCTCTATCTCCTTTAGTCTGTTTTGACATCTTCTAAAGGTGATTGAGGGTAGAGAGTGCGGTAGTACCAGCACAAAGTCTACTGTCACTAAAAACCAAGTAATAGGGTGGTCTGGCCTGTATTGGAAAGAGCGACCAACGCTGGATTCCGTTTGTACTTCTTGCCCCCGAATGAAGGTGGAGAGTGTGGTTGACACTTGTTACGTCTACTTTCACATAAATCTACCCCCTCGGATCCAGTCGCCTTCCCTGCAGCAACCTGTTTGATGCATATGGTAAATTTTAACCAGATCCATGTTCCAACAATCAGACTTTCCGGAAAGTATAATTAAATGAACTACCTACAGCGCTGTGCATAGAGGTAATCGTGTCAAACACTCGGGGGTTGTAAAACCTCAATTTACTGCAGCTTACTTTTCAAAAAGTCATCGTTTAGATTTCCTTTCAAAACATAGCCGTTGTGTACCGTACATGCAGAGAAAAACTGCATAAATCAAACAGTAATTGGCGGGGAACACGATCAAATGTATTACTGTCGCAGTGCCCACCGAGTCACGGTGAAACAACCAGTGACTTTTTATCATTTGTTCGAGGTGACCCATGTTGTGCATCAAAAATAATACCTATCGTTAGCGAGATATTTTTAAGTGTATAAAGCTAATAGGATGTATAATGCATTTGACACAATTGCTGAACACTTGCTGGCCTCGGCGGGATTCAAACTCATGCCGACAAGGGCAGTCTTTATTCCAGCCAACGTTCTAACCAACTGAGCTAGGAGGCCCAACCGGTGGCTGTGATTTTATCTCGCACTTGGCGTGGGTTCGAATGGCACCGAGGCCACCAATTTTTTCCAAAATTGGGCCAAAGTAATTATAAAACTATGTCAAACCCCGCCGCCCCTAATGGCAATTCCTTTATCAAAAAACGCTTTGTATGCAATGAGCTCGGTATTTGGCTAAATAGTACATGAAGTTAATAGGTAGTAGAACAACGTAAACGTTATTACCTGAAAGATATGTACTCCTTTTGCTAACCAACATATATATTCTACGATTATTCCCTTCTTAAACCTTAAAAGATGATTCCGAAAAGGGATGTTTTCAGTAATTCATCATTCGGCCTATACAATAACATAGACAACGAAAATATGAGAGCTTAACTGGGTTTGTGAATGTACATGAGCAATACTTTTGGCATCGTATTTGGAACTTTGAATTCCCACCCACTCAGCTGCACTTAGAGTTTTGCGTGGATTTAGATTTTTATGCCTTGTTAAACAAGCGGCATACGGCTACTTTTTTTCTTTGGCTGTTATTTTCTTTACGTCAGCATATTAAGGCCTGTTATATTTGGCAAGCGATCAAAAGCTATTCCAGGGGAACCAAGGCACATTTGAAATTCTTAGAACAAAGATTGCCCGACCACTGGTACTTGGGTAACTAAACGTCATCAAAGTAGAGAAATTTTCGATACTTCAAATCATACGTAATATCGTTAACTTTTGGTAGCATTTTGTTGTTGCTAGAATTCCACTGCTATAAAGCAAGATGAGAGTCACGGGCAGATATCGGTTTCACTTACCTCACTTTGGGGATAATACAAATATTCCGAACGTACTTTGGCTGTCTATGGCCTAATTCCTCAAAACTGGTGTTAAAAAGTCAACGTTCGGAAAATATGTTAAAAGAGGTCGCCTTCCGTCTCTCTACTAAATACATTATTATCGGAGTTTGGTAGTTCATAGAATAGCTACACCAGCTAAATATTGACAGAAACAATATTCTTTTTTGAATTTTATGCATATTATCTGCGCAGGTCTCAGACTATCCTACAATTACCTATAACCAGTGATTCTCAGCAGAATCCGAAACCTTAGGAACATTTAAGAAGCCCTTGTTCCAGTGATCGCTTCTTCTTCTTCCGTATGCTTATTTTCCATGTATTGATTATATTTATTGCATATATGCATAGTGTATGTATGTATATACCGCTTACTTACTGCATAAAAAATATCTAGTATTTTTCTGCAATCCTTTTACGAATCCTGGTTAATTTTAACCTGGGTTTCCTATTCTTTCTGCATTTTCAGTGTTATCTTATCCGTACCATTGACGGCAAAATTCGTTAGTGCAGCATATCTATTTCGGCAAGTAGAGAAATGTGTCGTAATTGCATTTATTCTAAAACCTACAGGATATTCCAATATGAAGGCATCCTTGTAATAAAGATGATCATATCCAAAGCGCAGGAAAGTTGCTGATGATGGGTTAAAGTCACTTCGAGCGCATCTTCTTCTTATGAACTAAACCCTAACCTCTGCCGTACTCTGGAACTTCACTCTAATCACTGACTTCCCGGTAATTTAACACAACACCAACTATGCTGTGGATGAGTTCTGCTCCTTTGTCCGGAAAGTAGAAGTCGCTGAACTGCAGTCACGGATTTTTACAGAGGTAATAATTTAAACACTCTGAGACTGTAAATCCTTGAGTTATTACAACTTATTGAACAAAACTTCACCACTTAGATTTCCTTTCAGTACACAGTTGTTGAGTTATGTATGAAACATCTGTGGAGGTATGAACAACCGAATAAATTAAACAGCATTTGTTCGGAAACTTGATCCAATTTATTGCTCTGATGAGTTCAAGTCAGATCTATACACTTCTTGTTCCATCGATCGCATGTTCTTCTTCTTATAAACTAATCTCTAATCGCATCCGTTATCTTAAACTTTATACTACCGCCCAATTTCCTCGTAATTTAACACAAAGCCAACTGCACTATTTATGTGGTTTGTTTCTATGTCAGTAGTAGTACCAGTATTACTAATATTCAGCTACAGTGCTAGTTAGTAGTAGTAGTAGTAGTAGTAGTACAAATAGTAAAGACAGTATCAGGCTCGATTTCCTTGAGTATTTCCTAACGCCTACTGAATTTAAGTGAGGGTAGGTAGTGCGGCAGTGCTAGCGCAAAGTCTACTGTCACTAGACCAAGTTAGGCGATGTTCTGGCCTGCATAGGAGAAAGTGGCCAACGCTTCATCCCGTTTGTCCTTCTTGACCACGGGTAAAGGTGGGGAGTGTTGTTGACGCT